GTTTATGTACATGAACTACGATTTGGCTTGATCCCGAAATGGGTACGTAGGCAGCTCGAAAACGAGTTCAGCTATTAATAAAATTTTTGTTTTATTTCTTTATTAAAGGAAAAAGGTTCGGTTATGCGAACATACAAGAGATTGGAAATAAAGCGTTTATAAAAAAAAGAAGACGGAGTGTCCCTCATCGTACACTTCGAACTACGAAATCCTCGTTGACGAGCAGAACACTTCAATTCCTTGACCAGCAAGATCGAGGATTGACATCATGCAGTCCGGAATTTGAGCAAAGTCAGAAATTCCAAGCTTAATCCACTCTCCGGGGTGAGATTCAAGGATGTGAAGATTTCTTGACACCGTAGTAAGCCTGCGTTGCTCCCGGTTATTCTTCTTCCGGAGCCTCTTCTTTTCCGACATAAGCTTCCGGCGTTGAAGTTCAAGTGCCTCTATGAATGCCATCGCTGTTCCTTGGTCTCTGATTGGGAGATCCCTGATCAAAGCACATGGGGGTCGGATCTGAGATCTCGAGAAGCCGCGAAGTGGAGAAGGCTGCCTGTTTGGCTCATTTTGAACATCTTCATTCATCATTCCGATTCTGGAGAAGTCAGGCATAGATTCTGAACAGCGAAGATTGAACTCCATACCTGCTAAAATGAAAAGAAGGGTGAGAAGTAAAGAGAAATTGAACCTATAATTTATAGGAATCCCATATCCTTAGCAAGCTGCGGATTTTATCCAAGGAATGGAGTGATTCGCGGAGAGATTCATGCCCTCGAACGGATCATGCATTAAAAGACGCATCTCCAAGAATATTTGGAAAGAAAGGAAAGTAGCAAATATTTCCATAAATAAAAAGGGGCCGAAGCCCATTACGAGTTTTAAAAAAAAAAAGAAAAGAAGTGAAGAAATTAAAGAACATTTATGGGAGAGGCTCGGGAACAGGCTCCTTCATCGCCGGTTTAGTCTTCGAAGTGGACGCCTTGTTTTTGGCATCCACTTCGGAACGATCCCGAATGCGTTTCCGGCAGTTGCTGGCCTCCTCCTCCAAGTCCTCTTCCTCTTCACTATCGGATGGAACGGCGAAGACTGGGGCGTTCACGGGACCCGGGACTCCTCTAGCACGGAGATACATCCGAAGCATTTTCGGGATCTCAGCAACAGAATCGAAGTTCCGCCACTCCCATTGAAAGGGATCACTCTCCAAAGCCCGTATCTTCCTCTCCATCCGAGCAATGCGAGCCTCGAGTGTTTGCCTTTTGAGACCCAGCCGCTGCCTCTCTTCACATAAGCGACGGTGCTTGTCGGCGACCTAGCATAAAGATGAGTGAATAAAATGAAGCAAAAAGTTTTTTCAAAAACTTTAAATATTTACCTTGTCGATGAAGTCGCAAGCCTCTTTCTTCTCCTTTGAAGGGAAGTGAAAGACGGCGTGAGGAAAGAGAACGCCGGCCGGTTCAAATCCGTCGCCGGACAAGAAAAGTGGGCTGCCGGGATTGATGGGGGCTACTCCTTCGTTTTCCATTCTTAAAGTATTTCTCAAGTAAGATTCTAAAGCCATGCTTAAATAAAGCTTAGAAGTATGTAAGCCTTTATTTATAATGATTTAGGGTTTGTCTTGGAACCATAAACCTAATAATGGTAGTGTGTCCGAGTGGTTTAAACCATTTTTGGAAATCAAGAAAAAAAAGCACTTTCCGCATTAAAGACGAGCCGTTTTCCTTACTTATAAGAAGGGAAAGCGCAACCGTCGCATTAACTACAAAAGTTTCTAAGGCCCAAGCCCAGTAAGTTTATCGAGTTGA